TTCTTCAGCAGTGGAGTCTTGCATGGTGAGCGTGCATACAGGCCATGGTGGTTCAGTGCATTACTTAACTTACTATTCTGAAGCTCTCCACAAGTGGTCCTTGGCTCTTGGACAACTCTTCTGATAATTCTTTTCACTCCTCTGTCAGAAATCTTTTCCCTGTGCCATTCCACATCATTACAAATAACTTCATTTCTGGACATTTATGGTTTGATTTCTTTGTATGTATGGATCACTTGGGTTGTTACCGACATCTGGTGAAAATTTCATGTCATTAGCACCTCTAGTAATATATTTACTGAGAAAAATGGTGACGTGTTTGATACTTATTTTACCCATTGTATATCCCTATGGATGCATGTGTGTGTTTGAGTGTCTGTTATCAAAATATTTCATGAACCTCTGGACAAATTTTGCTGAAACTTTCAGGAAATAATCCTTAAATACCCCTAAAACTGATTAACCTTTTTAAACCAACTCAATTCAAGATGGCGGCCAAAACCAACTGAAAGAAAACACAGGAATAAGTATAATTCAGTCAAAATAACAGATATTGAGCTAAAATTTGATGTGATAGTAGCTGAGAGTCATTTACATCACACACTTTGAACATGACACTTATTGTTGCTGGAAAATATGTATTACAATATTTTCAAAGTTTGACCAGAACACCTCCAGCTCCATTGTTTCTCAGACTGAGACAGTTTTATTTTATCATGCATATATTTTATGCTGGATTGGTTTTTCTCCTGAGAACATGTGCTGAAGCGTTTAAACTGTTGATGTTCTTGCAGATAAGTCTTTTTGTTTTGTAAAGATACCTTTTGTGTTTCGATTCATTTTAATACATTCTGAATGACGCCAACAGAGGCAGCGATAAAATGTGATGTTTTCATCTGGAATAACTTGTGGATGATTTGATTCAATACAACTGGAACTCAATTTAACTTTAGGTTTTTGATTTCAAGTCGACAGCCATTCCTGTTGTCAAGGTGATAGTGGATCCAGGGGTAAGAATAAGCCCCTCCTCCTTCACTCAAGACCCTCCCCCCTCTGTTACCATCCAAAAATTCAAAGCATCTATATTGTTTTGTCGTGACGCTGTTGTTCAGTTCTTACTAAAACCACAGAGATGCTTTTCTGTACCTGAGTTTCTGGTTGTAATTCTGCAGTAAAGTTGCCGGGTTTGTTTTCATGAACTGTGTTTGTCAGAGTTGTTGCGTTTTGGTGCAAGTTGAAATGTTTTGACCATGTTTCTCATTTTGTCTTGGTGCATGGCATGCACACGGGACACCACTGATGTTGTTATTGTGTTTTTTTTGTTTCATTCTACATTCCTAATGAGTGGCAGAAAGTGCTTGCTGTCAGATTACCAACACTGTTGGAACACTGAACTGTGTTGTGTTTGCATTGCTTGTTGGAGTCTCAAATGTTTGTGGCGTTGCAAGACAGATACAGCTCCATCTTTCTGTTATCGTGTTAACGTCAATGTTTTTTAGACTGTTATTGAGCATTATGCCTGTTTCAGACTCAGTTGTTCCATGTATTGTGTGCATTTGTCATGTGGGCCTACTGATGGATTTAAATCTAACACAAAGTTGCATGAAAACTGGTTGTCAATGTAAATATATAGGAAGAAAAAACAAATTGGTAGGACTTGAATCCACTTTATTTTGATCCTATTTGTGAGAATTAAAAGAAAGCATGAATGACCAACTGCATCAACGACTGAACGAATGATACAAAGATTTACCATTGCTGAAAAATGTTTGTTCCGTAAATAACTTCCCCCCCTCCTCCGACCTCAGAACACAGAAGACAGCGCTCGAATCTCCATCACCTTCTTCCGCCTGTTCAGGGTGATGAGGCTGGTCAAGCTGCTGAGCAGGGGCGAGGGGATCCGGACTCTGCTGTGGACCTTCATCAAATCCTTCCAGGTGGGGTTTTAAGACTTAAAATAAAATAAATTTGCAAAATTAATAATCAACCAAGTGAAGAAACTGCATTAAACAAATTTTAAAATGCATGCCGTGTTTCTGAACATTAGAAATTAATGTAAAAACCATTCATGTTGTCTTTTCACATTTTAATGAGTTTAAAGTGCCAGTGACATCGAATTTTTCTAATAAACACGAATGCATTTTTGGAAAGATAACACTGATAACCTATTGCAAAACAAATTTCACGTCGCTGAGATGAACGGTTGTTGAGATATTTGCATGTGAAGAAACAGGAAGTGGTACCAAAGGGGAATGTCTGCATGTAAACAGAGCATTGTTACCAAAGCTAACAAAACAGGCTGTAGAGAAGAATCTGATGTTTCTTTAGATTATTTTTTAGTCGCTATCAAAGAGAGATGAAGAGTTATTTGGTTTTAATAAACAGAGACCAGCAAGTTTATTTTATTAATGAGTTTCTCTTTCATGTCACTTCCTGTTTCACGTTGGCTGAGCCAAATTCAAAAGAAAATAGGCCAGTTATGTGACAAAATGGATAAAATTATGTGTACCATGCCAATTTTCTTAAGTATAAAGATGCTTTCTTTGACTTTTTGTATTTGAAGGATAGGCATGTCACAGGGACTTTAAAGTTTTACCTTTTGTCTGTTCTTTCCACCCAGGCTCTACCTTATGTTGCCCTTCTGATAGCCATGCTGTTCTTCATCTATGCTGTGATCGGGATGCAGGTAGTACAGATGATTAAACTAAACACTTAGCTTTGTTTGTGCTTGTGATCCTTTTTTATTTAGCTTTTTCTACAAACTTCTGGATGCTTTATAAAGATTTTTTGCTGCTATTTCTCATCTGCTCTGTTAGGTGTTTGGGAAAATAGCAATGGTGGACGGAACCCAAATCAACCGCAACAATAACTTTCAAACGTTTCCCCAGGCGGTTCTGATGCTTTTCAGGTTTGTGCTCTTTGTAGTTTGAACTGTTTGCCGCTCTGTAGTGATCCCACAATAAAACCACATGAAACTGTTTCCTGTTCTCAGGTGTGCCACAGGCGAGGCGTGGCAGGAGATCATGCTGGCCTGCCTGCCGGGGAAACTGTGCGACTCCGAGTCGGACTACAACCCCGGAGAGGAGCGAACCTGCGGCAGCGGCTTTGCCATCATCTACTTCATCAGCTTCTACATGCTCTGTGCATTCCTGGTACGCCTCGGACGTTTCACCGTTTTCACTAACCGAAATATTTCAACTTAGATTTTCACAGACATTCAATAATAAATAAATATAAATAACAATAAAATACTGTTGCCCTTTCCTGTTTCAGATCATCAACCTTTTCGTAGCTGTCATCATGGATAACTTTGACTACCTGACCCGTGACTGGTCCATTCTTGGGCCGCACCACCTGGATGAGTTCAAAAGGATCTGGTCTGAATATGATCCTGAGGCCAAGTGAGAACAAAAAACTCATTTTCTCTTTTCCCCTCTTCATAAAAAACTCTGGAGTGCACAAACTGTGTATTAATATTCTTAATATCTGTAAAGCATGTTCTGAATACAGTTGAAATGTGTTTGATTTAAATCTACCTGGCTGCTAGGGGCAGGATCAAACACCTTGATGTTGTAACTCTGCTGAGGAGGATCCAGCCTCCGTTGGGCTTTGGAAAGCTCTGTCCTCACAGAGTCGCCTGTAAGGTGAGTTTTCACCACATTTTTGACATTTATGCTAAAAGTGAGTAACTGGTTTTCACCACAAAAGTTGTAAGATCCATCTCCGACGTCAGCGTGATGTTTGACTTGTGTTGCAGCGACTGGTGGCGATGAACATGCCTCTCAACAGCGATGGGACTGTGATGTTCAACGCCACTTTGTTTGCTTTGGTCCGCACTGCGCTCAAGATCAAAACGGAGGGTGAGCGTTCACCGCAGGGTGTTAGAATCTGCAGAATCGTTACTTGTTTAACCGTGATCGTTTCTGCACGGTCGAGCTCTAACAGCTGCATCATGTCTGTGTGATAGGACTTTAACTTAAAACTTTATCTCCATAAAATTAAAAGAGGAAGCAACAATCTAATTATAACAGTTTTTATACTGTACCCTGCAGGTAAATACCTTGTTTGAAAGACCACCTTAGGGAAATAACTTTGCCAACATCCATAATATTTACGATTTACATATTTTATAGTGTTTGTTCTTATTTATTTTAAAACTAAAATGTGTCTCTTCTATCATTTATACATAAAACATAAATTAAAATATTGTTTATTGTTTTGAGATTAAAAGACAGAAAAGTTACTTTTTTGCTTTTTTACACAAACATACTCACTGATTGATTAAGTTTTAAACAATCATTATTTGTAGGTAACTTGGAGCAAGCCAACGAGGAGCTCAGAGCTGTGATCAAGAAGATCTGGAAGAGGACCAGCATGAAACTGTTGGATCAAGTGGTTCCTCCTGCAGGCGGTTAGTGATCATCTCACACGCTCCTCATCATCTTCACTCAGTTCAACCACTTCAGCTCTTTTCTTTGCTGTGCACACTGCCAGGCTCCTCTTAGGAGCGAGCTGCAGTTTGTACTGATGCTTACCAAGATTTATTTATAAATGTGGTCTGAAATGTTTCTGAATGGATTCAGCTTTTCCTAGAATAAAAGATTCACCTCCGGGGCACAGTGTAAGTCATTATGTCCTGAGATTATGCAAAATTAATATGCTAGAGTTGGATATTTGGCACATTTCTATTAAAAAGTTAGGTTAACCTTTTAAATATTTAAGCACTCTGCTGCCACCTAGTGTCTGAAATTATAAAGTGCAGACCTCTGCAGGACAAACCTTATGGGACTTTAAAGCAGTGGTTCCCAAACTTTTTGTCTTCTGACCCACAAACTATCCATGGCAAAAACTTGTGACCCCAAATATTACTGGTCTGAGTACATGAACTTCATTAATAACCCTAAAAACAC